GCACCTAACCTCAGCAGCAAGTAAACAGCCACCATGTATAATGTAGCAGCGCGACAGCTTCCCAACTAAGGCATCAATATTTTGTGCACCAAGATGGAAACAATGGCAAGAGTCATTCAACCATTTTAAACACCTTTCAGATTAAACTAAGCACAAGGTAGAGATCAAAGTCATTTCTGGGTCTGCAGGAAATGAACCTTGAAGAAAATGCAGTCAGTGGGAAAATGCCAAAGTTTAGCCTTGGATTGCCTGGCTCTACCTACTTAGATGAGAGATTTCTCAAAAGATAAGCAAAACAAAGATGTAAAAATACAAAAGGAAGTCTACCTAACTACCTACTATACAACAAGCCAGGCAAACAAATTCCATGATCCATGTGGGTCTCTTACAACTTGAAATATTCTATGAAAGACACACTGACAACAAAGCCAAGTAGCTTTCCATATTCTCAGAAGGATGCTCTGCCCCACTCACCAGCACCTGTAAAGCATCCTGCTAGCCTTCCATTTTCAAAGGGATCTGGTTGCTTATTAAAATCTGACATGGCATCTGTCAGCACTCATCAATATCAGCCAAGCTGCGTAATTAACTTCATTTCTTGTCAGATGTTTGGTCACTGAAAGGGACCTCAGGTCCAAGAAAACTCAGATCAGTGCTCCTCATTCTCTTACGTGGAACTTTATACTGTGAAAAGGATGCAGAATAGCAATTCAGTATCATGGGTCAGATTCCTAAACTTATGACCATCCAAAATCAGATGTAGTAACATTTCTGTTCTACCTGTATTTGCTGCAGGAGCATTTCAAGCTCATATTTACCCGTCTTTTCTGTTCTAATGTTCAGAAATGCCCTTTGTCTAAAAGGTAGACACTCAGTTTTTAGAAAAAAAAAAAAAACAACAAACACACACACACAAAAAAAAAACCAAAACAATCAAGAAGGCTTAATAACTTTAAAGGCTGCTTTAATAACTAAGCTGAAGAATGGAGTTCCCAAACGGGCAAGCAGAACTGTAATGTACTGCAAGAGAATTCTGAGCCAGTGGAGGTTTTACATAAGGAAAGCTTTTTGGTTCAGTGATTTGGAGCTTCAAGGCACCTTGTGCAATTTCCTGATATTCAGGAAGGAGTGCTTCCTATCGACCAGTCGCATTAGCTTGCCCACAGATCAGTACCATATTTGATAAGTGCTTGTGGAAACGCAGGTATTTTTTCACACAGTGCGCTGGAGATCCACTACAAGAGTACCCTCGTATTTAAACTTGCCATGCACTGATGCTGACCTATTAATGGCACTAACAACCCAGCAGTCAGCCTGCAGCCTCCTCCTGCTGCCACACAAGGAATCTGACAACAGATCAAAGGTCAAAGAACTAATGATTTAGAACACATTCCAACTTGTTGATATACTGCCTGCTTACATGACCCTAGCTTCTTCCCAATCCTTCAAGGGAGGAACATCCAGTTCAAAGTCAAAGATTACAGAGCATCCCTACGTGCAAACTCAGAAACCCTCCTCCTTTCCTGTTAATTTCTTTCAACTACAAATAATGTAGCCTTGCAAAATCATCACACAGACAAAACAGATGTGTCTAGAATTGAAACAGCTCAAAGGACACTGAAAGTACATACTGATGTAGATTTTCCTAAATAATCTTGAAAGACATCTAACTTAGAGGACAGATGGCACATTTGTTCTGTAACTAAGAAACTACTTCATGCTAATTTATAACAATGCTCTAAGAAAAGCTACAAGTTGCTTTGCATCGGAGACCTGGCTTTGGGGAATGCTTCATGAATGCCAAAACTCAGCTCTGTCTCATAATTAGCTGGTAATTGCTCTGATACTGTTATTGCGTGTAAAATATCCATATAAAGTGAAATATTTCTTCTTGGCATAGCCTAATCAAATTATAGACATTTATGTCTCTTTGTGGGGTCCAGAAAACTTTAGCACACCACCCATATTCCCCAGTCAGGACTGCTCATTTACAAAGGTGGTTGGGTTTATTTGTTTGGATTCGACTACACGGCTGCTGCGTTTTCCAATTTATATGCAACATTAAGAACAGGGACACTGCCCACTATTTGAAACGTTCCTAACATTATATTGTTGTCAAGATAATGCAATGTATTTCTACATGCACCAAAATCAAGCACTGTAAACGTCTACCTTGTTATGAACAAAGCTTAAAGCTTGTTCTACTAAGCAGTTGGCTGTATTGAAACTAGAATTTCCCTCTAATCCAAAAGATGAATCACAGGTTTATTATTAAGTCTTAGGATACCAATTTTGCTAGCCTCAAAATTTCCACTCCTAGTACTTGCAATAGGGTAAAATGAACTGTAATTAACTGACAATGATAAAAAATATCATTCACATCACATTTTAAACTGAGATATTATAATCTCTGCTAGTGCATATCGGAATTCACAGCCCAATCCCAGGCACATTTACCTATGGAAGACAGCAGAGTAGATAGTCCCAAATTTCCCAGAGAAGTTATTAATGTGCCTCAAAGTCTACTACATTATAAGCCACTAATTCATTCTTATCACTGCTAACAGTTAAAGACAAAAAATAAATCAAGGAGGTCTACAGCTCAGTCTCATCTCCCTCCAGCCTTTCCATCTAGGCCTCCTTCTTCTTCACTTGTTGCTTCCACTGCCAGGTAACCATTAACAATTTGGTTTAAGGGCAGTGTGCTCCTGATTAATAGATAATAAAATCTTTTTTTTTAAAAAAAAAAAAAAAACTACTGGAGATTAATGAATAATGAGACAAAACAGAATCCAACTAAATTTGCATTTCTAACACAGAACAGCAGTTCTTTATCAAGATGAGTGACTTTGTTATAAAACAGCAAAATACAATCTGCTCTGCATGGCACTCCTAGAACTGCACTCCTAAACATCTCTCACTCATCCCATGCCCATCATTCCCTTGCTTGCTCTAGCTCCAAGTCAGCTGCTGGCTGCTTGAGATTCCTTGCCTATCAGAGGTCCCAGAGAGCTTGCTTTCTAGGGCACAAGTCACACCACTTTCAGTTCTGTTCTTTCAACAGCTCTTATCTGGACCCGCAAATAGAATCTAGCTGGGCAGATAGGACAAAAGAGCAGTAGGCATCTGGTTTTCAGTGGCATGGAATAACAGCTAGCTGCATCTTATCTCGGGGGTGTGGAAACGCACTGATGGGTAGAGGTTTTCCTTGCTGTCTTCATCAGGAAGCAGTTTTACTCTGTTCTGAGACAGATGGACACAGCACCAAACTACAGAGCTTGATGACATTACATGACACACGATCACATCCTGAGCTGGCCGAGGCAGCATGGAGGTTTAAGTCCCCATTCCTACAGTGCTGCAACCTCTGCTGGCATATGCATGCCAAGTGGTCACAGCAAACCTCTGACATAACCTCTGACATAACCTAGGAAGTACAACTATGATCACATCAAAGGTGCTTAATACCATTGTGTAAATGAAGTTGTGAGCACTGACAGCAACGAGAAAAAAGGAATCCCATACACAGCAGACTAAAAATAAATGGTAACACTGAAACCACGCCACTTTACAACCTGTGCAACAGCTTTATGAGAAAGTCCTCATCTTCACTACACTACCAGATTAAGTCTAGAGGTAAGAGGTTAAACATTTTCAGCAGGTGTAACAGCAGTCAGACACATACAAGTTCATTCAAGGCTATTGCACTGTAGATGTCTGACTTGAAATCTCAAGAACAAACAACTATACAGAAAGGAGAAGGACAAATAAACCAGTTGCAGAGGCAGACTGCTCTCAGTATCTGGTATTATTTTCTTCAGCTAACAACATAATGTTTAAACTGAGGGGGTCTAACTTAACCACCCATAGAGAAGCAGTCACATCAAATTAAAAGCTCATTAAACTAAGGAGAAAATGCTTAGTTTAGCAGCCGTGTCCCACTTGTATGAACCATATGGACAGACAATATGCAATATGAGTAAATAACTGCACTGTTTAAACAAAAAGTACATCCACTTACATATGAAAGGATGACAAAAAACAAGCTGTGAAACTCAGGTAAAATCTTCAAAACGGGACTTGAAGCTAACTCCTTGACACAATCCTTTTCTTACTCTAAATGGAAGACATATGAACACTGAAAAAGACAGCACTTACTTACTGCCAAGCCCAAATAACAAGGAATTGAATGAATGAGAAGTTGGTGGGAGATTTAGTGGTAGTTGGAGACCAAACAAGTGGAGGCTATAAAAAGAATTGGAGGCCTAGTGGTAGAGGAAGACTAGTGGAGGCCAAGTGATTGGGAGACAGTGGGAAAGCAGAGAATAACAGATACTGGGAGAGCAGGAAAAAAACCCCAACTCCAGGAACGGCTCAAAGTTACTGTAAGATTCTAAGAAAAGTGGAGGCTAAGAGGGAGTGGGAGGTCAGGGAAAAATCACAGGTGAAGATGAACTGGGTTTTGGAGACTCTGGATGAGAGGTGGGGGACAGAAATGTTGGAGGCTGAAAGGTAGCCGGATGCCAAAAGTGCGTGAGAAGAAAGGAAAGAAGTGGAGGTTGACAGGGAGTGGCAGGATGGAAAAAAGTAGATGGCAAGAGGAAGTGGGAGGCTGGAAAAAGAACAGTACATAATTACAGAAACATATGAGTATTCCAAGCAGGACATGCTATTTTGAGTCTTCTAGTAGTGATGAATTTATCCCTACTCCTCCAACGAATCAAACGTCCAAGATAACTTTTCTTCTAAATTAAACTGTAAATGTTTGCGCACTGAATTTTTGTTATGTGTGGTGTTGACCATCTTGCTGCTGGTACATCTGTGATTCAGCCCATCCACCTTCCATTCTTTACCTTCCCCAGTAAACAATGTATTCTCATATTAAGCAAGAGGAATATCTGCTACTTCAGAGACTGCAGGAAGCTTTACCTCTCAAAACTGGTTTAAATTTCATATTCAGAAATTGACTCATTTCTAACAGATGAATGTCCAGGTCTTACCTTTGCAGGTGAAGCATTTGATGTGGAAGTGTCTGGACTGAACACGGAGTACTTCACCTTTACATGGCTCTCCACACTTATGGCAGTGGATGACTGGCTTTTCAGTTGGGTGATGGGGCTCTTGAGGATGGGCCACTGTCAAACAAAAAACATAATTTAAACCTACAGAAAAAGCCTTTCTCCTATACATAAACATTTCATTCATTTTTCATCAAAACGCTTATTTATCTGAACACATTTCACACTCACCAAAAAAATATAACCACTTCTGAAAATACAGCCTTTTCATTAAGCAGTAGCCTAAGCCATTCACATCTACTACCTCTTTCCACTGAGGCCGCCATGGACACGGGAAGACAAGGAAAATTTCCCTTCACACTTCAGGCAAAGAGAAAGAAAGGAAAGGAACTTGAAGCCATATTTTGTGAAAATAAATGAACACAGTTGCCTGACTCTGCATGCAAACATCTATACTACAGTTTTGCTACAGCACATACCTAGCAATGGGAAAGTACATAAAAGAGACCAACTTTGTTTCTGCTCCCAACAATTCTGGAAGCAACAACTCCCTGCATACAAATTAGACACATTATGAGTAGACAGAAATGACCAAGGCACATGCAATATAGTCAGGGAGACTAAATTCCAGGTACTAGTAAATTATCAGCTATCCCACCTCTGAGCTCTGTCCTTTACAAATGCCTTGGTGAAGAAATGCTGCTATTAACTCTGCATTAATAATAAAAACCAATTTGTGTCAAAAGGAGTAACAGCATGAAGACATGAAGAACAGATAAATAGATAAGCAATCATTTCTGCTGCAAGCTCAGCCAAACTAACACGGTAGTTGCTATTTTCCTTTATTTTTTTTTTTTCTTCACTCTGAAAACCTTCAAAGAAAATTCCTCTGCACTCCTTTACTCAAATGCCAAGTTTTGAATACCTCCTCTGGTAGCCTACTTCAATTATTTCCCAGGGAAATAATCAGAATTCAGTTGGCAATGCCACCCAGTATATTAATTAGCAGTCCATCTAAATATGACCTCACTAAGCGCTTTGCCTTGAGTGAACCTCATCTAATAAGGCTGCAATACAATTCCATTTCTGGAATAGAAGATATTGTTCTTCCATACCAGACTAGGAACAATTAGCTTGTTTCCATGGAAATGCACAGTTTATGCAATAAGGAAAAGAAAGTCCAAATACCAAAATCCAGAAGAGATGTAATCAGAAGCAAAGGCTAGCAAAGTAAAAGATGAGGAAAATTCCACTTCTGACCCAGACAGCGTGAGATGGGCCTGATGCCAACTGAAGAAAAGGTATGAAAGCAGATTTTTGAAGTTGCTCAAAAGAGGAACCGGATTGAGAATTCGGGCAAATGCCACCATGGTGCAGAGTGAACTCTATTTATTGTATAATCTATTTATTATATGAACCCTCACAGACTCAGGCAGAGGACAATGTAACATTCTGCATGCCAGCATGAAGATTTTCTGGTACTAATTTGAAAGATAAGCTTTTGCTCTTTATTGGTAATAAAAAATATTTTTAAGACTGGTAAAATAACACAACTTCACGTTCTGCTTTTACAGCCATTTAAACAAACACAAATACTGCTAGTTGCTATTTCCAGACTGATCTCTTTAGTGAAGCTAATTGTGTCACTCGTCAGACTGGCCTCAAATTGGAACTGTAGGTCAAGATTTGAGTAACTGACTTGTTCCCTTGCAAGCTTCTTCCTCTGCAATATGCAATACACACAAGGCAAAGTTGACCCTTTATAGGCATCAGTGTGGGCAGAAGAGAGAATTGAAGAAATGCTAATACCTTTAACAAGCAGTTGATTTGTTTCTGACTGAAGTCCAAAATGAGTATTAAAATTGTGAACTGCTTTGGGTCCAAAACCCCTGAGCTAGAAATTAGAAGTGCTGATCAGCTCGAAATTCTTCAGCCCTAAAGTACAGTGGCAGACCCAGACCAGGTTACACTCTACTGTTCATAGGTCTTAAGTACCTTAGTGAATGCTTGCATATAAACTGATGAAAAGAAGTTTTATCTAAAAGAAAATTAGTATTTTCTTTTTATTTACGCTAGCTAGGAGCAAACCTGCACGATCTGTTTTACACTGTGTGACCCTCTTAGGTTACTCTAAAATGGATTTATTTCCAATTTAAAAGAACATAAATCAATAATTTTGAGGGAGACAAGCTGGGCTGAGGCTTCCATTCTTGCTTACAAGACCAGCTTAAGTAAATAATTAATGAAGAATTAATGCTTTCTTCAGCTTTCTTTATTTGGGTTTCCAATAAGACAGACCGATGGCTACTAAACACCGCATTTAACATTTAAGCAAAAATAAAGCAGAACAAGAGAGAAAACAGGAAAAACACCCCCATTTTCCAATGAAGAAGACTGCAGTCACTTTCCCATCTCCACTTGACAAACTTAAAGCACTTTCTGAGCAAAATTAAGGAATTCATTTGCTGCGTCAAGCTTAAATCTGCCACGCCAGGTCTGCTTTATGCAGGACAGGTCATTGCACTAAGTTCTAATACCAATTACATGTTTTGCTGCCTCAGTCAAAAGAAGGACCTCAGTATTGACACCAAGTCTTTCTGGAATGGAAATTACAGCTATTACCTGAAAGGTAACAGTTGTTTAATTAAAGAAAACGAGGAAAATAAATTCTGCAGCCTCCCTTATTGATGATTCTCTCCCTCAGCTTGACCTGAATGCAGAACTGCTGGGAAGCCAGACTTGATCTAAGGGAAGCTTAGCTGCAGACCCTGCTGGCAAGACTCCACGTCTCTGCTGCAAGCCACAGAATATTTTGACTTTTTATTGTAAGTCAGAAAGAAGCTTCTGGGAAACGCCTTGCTGTGATAATGTTGCAAAGCAGAGGCCACAGCAAAATAAACGTGATTCAATTCTACATTCAGCTGAAGTGAAAAAAACAGCAACCTCTAAATTTAAACCAAGACTTTACTGGCTACTCATGCTGCAATATTACTCAGCTGTCCCACTGTTATCTTTACAGCAGGGGTTAAAAACCAATCCTCCACAAAAGTACCAGCAGCAGCTCCTATTCTGAGGTAAGGAGTTTCCAGAGGCCGTTTCAGTTCAGGCCCTTGCGCAGAGGAGGGTTGCTCCAGGGCTCACTGGTCACCAGGCCCAACCTGGTCACCCACAGTCTGCTGAGACTTCAACTGAATTATAGGATCTGAAGTTTAAAACGTCAAGGCTTTCCAATGGAACTTCCTTCAGTGTCTGATGTTGAAGAGGCAGCAATTAAACCCAGCTGTGTGTGGGCCGTGCAGGACAGGGTGGGCTGGCTCTGCGCACCAGCTGCTGGCTGAGGAAGAAGCTACTGCAGTGACTGGGCACAGTGATGGGGCAGGGATCTTTGGGAACTGCAGGATACCCAGGGAGGAGGCACTTCCACTGGGAGACAGGAGCAAGCTGCACGCCTGTGCATGTAGCAAACAGCCAAAGGCAAAATCCTCCACGGTAGCTTACTCACACCGTTGCCATCCAAATCATATCTGAAGAATCATATTTTAAAAACCCCTCTTTTGGTTTGACTTCTACAGAATGCCAATTTGTCTCAAAGCTATTTGAACAAGCTGCATGTAATCAGAGTAGCTATCTGTCTTTAAAGGCAGACATTAACATGCTGAACTAGTTAGCTAGGATGATAGACGAGGGTAGTTCAAAAGAAAAACAGTTTAGAAAATGTTCAAAGATATCAAACTCTTAAATTTACACAAAAATAGCATGTGAACATTTCAGTACCAGGAACCAAATTTCAAGAAAGATGAAGCACACTATTTTTAAATAAGAAAACAGGTATTTAGTTACTTTCCTAAATATCTGTAAAGTAGGTATACCACATACATGGAGGTGGTGTCACCCATACATACACATGTACAAAGGCTAAGAAATAAGAAGCTTTAAGCTGCAAACTCATGAGGTCTATTTTATTGCCCTTAGTTCTACAACGTGGTTAAATTGTTGCTATTCGCAGTACAAAAGATCAGAGGCTATGAGATATTCTCCATGCCAACTGTAGTACTACTGCCTTTCATCTGCAGGCCAACAAGCTTCACCTTCTCTATCCACGTGTTTGCCTTTGCTCACTGCCTTGAGTTTGTAACAGTGACCACAGAGCACATTCTGTAGCCTACACTGCGAAAATGAGACTTTACAAAACCATTCTGCTTACAGTTGTTACACGATGAATCCTATTTGGCAGCCAGTGTTTAAGAGAAATTATAAACATTTCAAAGAAGAATTAATGAACAGCTTGTTACTTATGGTCAGGAGTTGTTTTCAACCCTAACTGAAAAAGAAAGGTAGTTCTAAAACCATTTTCAGTAGTGAAAAGGCACTAATTTTACAATGAAGAATGCAGCAAGCTAGAATTCGCTTTGAAAGATGATGTTGAAACAAATGCTGACTAAGCTAATCCAGTCTTTGAATTAAAAACTACATTAATCAACCTTGATTGTTAACAGAGGGGCTACTGGGTAGGTAGTTAAAGCAAAGGGCAGAAGCATGAAGGCATTTTAGACTGCCATATTTCTACATGAGCACAAACTAATTTTTCATGTAAATCGAACCCAAATCAAATGTTCTTAGACCAGCTTTATATCTTCATTCCATCATGAAGATCTCTACATTAGTTTATACAACTGATTTTTACTTCACAGAATGGCTTGGGTTGGAAGGGACCTCAACTTTCACCTACTTGCAAACCCTCACCATGGGCAGGGTTGCCTCCCACACTTTGGTTGCCCAGACCTCATCAAGTTGCCTTGAACATCTCTAGTGATGAGGCATCCACAGCTTCTCTTATTTCGTAGTAATTAATTCACCTTTCAAATCTCCTTAATGAAGGGGTGGACATAAACAACTGTTTCTCACATTCAACATCTGCAAGTCTAGATAACACAGCAATCATCTCAGCAAGGAAAGCTGTAAAAATCATTGTTTGATACTTGCCTTCCACATTTTGTACAGAAAAAGATCCAGTTACCAGCTCAAAAATGCCTTTTTCCTCCCTCCTTCTTTCTAATATAGAGGAAATCAGAAATTCAGGAGCTCCTAAGAGTGATCTGAGCAGCCATCTAATTCAT